GGATGGTTGGGGCTGGAAGGCATCTCTGGAGCTCATCCAGCCCAGGCTGGGTCACCAGGTGACACAGGAACAAATCCAGGTAGATTTGTGGTGCTTCCAGAGCGGGGTACTCCACAACTTTCCTGGGAAGCCATTCCAGTGCTCTGCCCCTCCAAGGAAAGAATTTCTTCCTCATGTTGTTGTTTAGTCTATTGCTCCTTGTCTTATCACTGGGCACCACTGAACAGAGGCAGAAACTGCCTTGGAGACATTTATATGCAATAATTAATTCCTTCATAGCCTTGTCTTCTCCACACCTTTATTTACCACATCCTTCAAGTTTATCAATTCCAGGATGCATTGAGAAGGAACCTCCTTCCTTTTGATCCGGCTTGAAAATACACCAATGTGAAAAACACCAATCTCTTGCTTTTAAAATTTTAAAAGTTTAATAGTAATGAAATGGTTCTAAAATAGTAATGCAATTAGAGTAATAATAATTTGGACAAATTGAATTAGGACAATATGAGACAATAATAAAAAAGGAGTTATGGACGTCTGGGTACCTTTTCTGGGCAACATAAGAGCAGAAAAAAAACACCCGTTAACAGAGGATTAACCCTTAAAAACAATAACCTGTTGCATATTCATACACCTCATACATGATATATAAATTCCATTCAAACACAGATTCTGTCTAGTCTGGGTCAACTTCTTCCTCTGGACCCTAACAGCATCTTTAGGGTTGAGCAAGGCGGGAAGAAGTTCATTTCTTCAGATAATGGGGCAATAAATTCCTTTTCTCTGAAAGATTCAGGTGTCCTGTGGATGCTATCTCACTGTGAGTCCTTTCTTTCCAAAAAAAGTATCCTACATAGCATAGTTTCTATTTTAACATTTTGTTATAACCTAAAACTATATTTACCACACTACTTAAAGAGAATTAATACACCATTACTTTCTAACACAACACATATAATATTCATTTTAATACTTGTGAAAAGCCAATCACAAAATGCTCATTTTTCACACCGAGATTCCACCCCAAAGAACACTCAACTCTTCACATCCCACACCCCCCAAACCCTTGTGCTGAGCAGCCCAGAGCCCCACAAGCCACCTGGGGCACGCTGTAGGGCCGATAACACCCTGCGTCCTTCCACCACCAGGTGTGGGAACCCACAAAACCAGAGGGTTTTGGGAAAGCTGCAAAGGGCAGGCCCCAGAGACAGCGGGACTGTGATGGGAGCTAAGCAGCAGCCATGAGATTGGTCAGCAGGAAAATTATGTAAGTAGAAAAGCAAGGACAAATAGAACAATGATGTGTGTATTAACACTTGTCTAGAATAACTCCCCAAGCTACAGAAAAGTTTCTCTAGCAAGATATTAGGAAGTTTGAAGCTTAATAATGGAGCTCTGTGCATTGTGTTT